AAACGCACCCCCCCCCCCCCCCCCCCCCACCTTTTCGCACGCAAGCGGAGGAACCATTTGTTGGTTTTCTCGTGCCGTTGGTTCCCCCTTGCTATGCACCGTCAGGAGTAGGGGGTGAGCCAGCCCCCATCCCTCTGCTCGAGACATTTGGTGTTATTTAGCTATTTAGCCTCCGTTGTGTAGTTATTGTCGTTGTCATTTTGATGGAAGCGTCGGACAGGTTCGTGTAGTCGTTTAGTAGTTATCTTGTGTGCGATCGGGATAGTCGATTGATGCATGGTGGCGAAGGAACATAGGGTCTGCCTTTTTTGCCTACCGTACTTGTGTGTTGGTGCCGGGGAAACGTTGGAGGCCTACCCGAGCCAAAATGTAAAAAATATCCCCAAAACAGCAGCAACAGCAGTAGCGAGATGTCGACTCTTGTGGGGAAGACGGGGAAGATGGGTGGGATGGTTTGGTGTGGGTTTGGAACGGTAAGTAAGACCAGGCGTAGAAACGGGATGAGGTGCGGACCGGGATTCCAAGGCTATCGGCACAACATGCTCGTCTTCCCCCCCGTGCCAGGAAGACCTTTCGATATCGCCTTTTTTGTGATGCCGTGCTTGGACTGAGGACGGCCGCTCGCTCCCCGTGGATCGGCACGGAAATTGTGGGGGGTGTAGCCCCGGATGGGTAGGAGTCAGGGTCCGGGGGTACCGTGCTTGCACACGTTTGTGAAGTTGTAGCGGTTTTTGTTGGGGGGTCGTGTGGTGGTGTGAGGAAAGTTTCTCGGCGCAGTGCCAAGCGGGAGGACGGGTGCGCGCGGCAGATCTGCGAAGAACCGAGCAGCATGAGCTTGAGGTGCATGCATGCGCAGGAGTAAGGGAGGAAGCAGTTGGATAAAGGATAACAAAGATAGCAGGTGCTTGGTGTTCGTTCGTTCCTCGTGGTGCCCAGGTTAGCCTAGCCTAGCCTAGCCTTATCCCTCCGTCAACACCCGTGATTCTGACTTTTCTCTTCGACCGTGGCATGAAGCCCGACAGGCGCGGAAGGAAGCACGTATGTATACACGGCTTAAAAATTGTACCGGGTGGGGGTCCACACGCACGCCTTGTATTTGTTGATGTGGGTATGTTGTTATTTTTCGCTGCAGATAGAGAACAAATGTTGGCCTCGTCCTGTTTTTTCTCTCTTTTCACGCCAACTTTATTTGTGGATGTGGGTAGTTTTCACTTTGTTATTTTTCTCGTTTTCGCCTAGAGAACACTGTCGTTTATTAGTGTGTTGGGGGAGAGCTTGGTTCCCTGTTTTCGTAGTTTTTTCCTCTGTTTTCTCCTGGTCGCGGCTTTCCAGTGGGTGCTGGCCAGTTCTGGTTCTTCTCGCGGGGACCACACCAACCTGCGTTGTTCAGCACCCCTCTTCCGTTGATCCGCTGGGGAAGATCCGTTGGGAGAAAGTGTCCGTTGGAGCACCTCCATTTGCTGGATTGTGTCGTGTACGATACGGGGACGGCTTTTTTATTGCTGACCTGTTGTTTGTTGGAGATGCTGACTAGGGTAGATACGCGTCCGTTAGGATGGCTGCAAGTCTGTAGCGGGGGGCGTTGCGTACTCTTCTTCCCTCTAGGTCCTGTCGGCTCGGTACCAACCAGGCTGTTCTCTCCGCATGGCCGCAGCGGTGGATGGGCTGGTGTTTTAGGGATGGGCGCGCACATTTTGTACGCGCCATAATCTCTCTCTTACCTGCCCGTCCGTTTTTGCGCGCTTGGCTGGGCTGTCGGTGGTGGTGGTGTCGTTTCGGTAGAATCGTAACACAACCGGGGTGGGTGGTATTAGCTCTTCAGTGTGTTGGCACGCAAATCATACGAAAAAATTAGTCGCGGCGGTATTCTACCCCCGTGTGATTTTTTGGTGTTACATCAGTTAGCGCTCTGTTCGGCGAATCGTTCACGGCCGGAGCCTTGATTTGAGGGGTTCTTGTTGTGTTCGTCGTGAGAAAGTATTGTGCTGTTGTCGGTTGGTTTCGTTTTTTTTGTTTTTGTTTTTTTGGTCGTCTTGTACGACGAAAAAAACGGATCGGCTTCTTCTGGAGTATTCGACATGCACCCGCGGCAAATCGTACGGTCCTACTCTCTTTCCGAACACAACGAGGAACCCCAGTCGTGTGCCAAGGCTTGTTATGTTGTTTTGTACGTATTTCTTTTGCATGACGGGGGCCCCGCCACTCTACTCGCCCCAGACCTCGAGGGCCTCTCTATATTCTTGTCCTGTAGAGCTTCTATTATTTGTTCACGGTCTTCCGTTCGCGTTCATTGTTTGGCCGCTAGGGAAGACAAGTTGGGAAAGCCATTGGCGGGTCACACAAGCAAAGTACATACCACGACGCGATTCGTACCGGTGTCCCGAGCGGCTGAACCGGTGCGCGATTGTAGATTCTACATGGCTCGATCGCGAGTTGTTGCATGAACATGGAAGGATGAAGGAAAAGCAACTCTCTCGCTGGGCACAGAGATATGGGGGGTTGGGAGGGAGTGGTGATCGATATTGAGTCGTGTGAGAAATATGTGTACAAGTCTCCTCTTTTCCTTCGTATGGTAGTTGTCTTGATGTTGTTCCTTCTTCTCGTCGTTCTTCGCAAAAAGGCTATGCATACTATAACTTGTTACATGGGTTGGGGTTGCAAAAGAGAAGGGGAGGGAGAGGGGTGAGAGAGGTTTTACTGTCCTGCTGCGGCTTTTTTTTCTTTTTTTTTCACGGGTTGATGATGTGTTGGTGGAAATCATCCATCGACGCGTAAGACTCCTCGCACGATGTTGGGAAGCTGTTTTTCATCCATCGATGAGGGTGTGCAGTAGGTGTCGGCCACCTCCCGCGATTTGAAAATAATGTCGGAGGAAAGGAAAAGAAGGCCGATGTATCGTCTGCACTAATCCCGCGTAAAAAAAGGATCGGGTACATTGCATAGATGGTAATTTTTCACTAGTGCAAAGGAAAGAAGAGGTGGTGGATAGATGGTGGATATTTTGTGAACGGGAAATATTGCATGCACGTAGTTGCCAGGAGCTCTTGCTCTCTCCGCGCTGACACCATTTTGGAAGGCGCGTTCTTTCGTGCGTGGTGTGTGCGCTCTCGGGCGTGTTTTTTGTAATGAAAAAGAAAATTATGGTGTGTTCAAATTTGCGTCGCGTTCCGTCACATGACGTTGTTCGAGGCCCTGTCCCATCCCCTGTGCATGATGTTGATCTGCGTGCGTGTGGGTTGTTTGGTGGTGGGTCACCAAAAACCGGTTCGCTCCCTCCATCACCGAACGAACCGGTCTCACGTCTCACGTCTCACGATCAACTCCCGTGGCACTACTCTTTGTGCTCGTTGTGTGGATGGGCTTCTATGACCACTCTCAGGGGCGGTGCTCCCACCGTCAAAAGATAGCAAGTGTCGTGCCACAAAGTACACCCCAATTTGCTGCGCGTGGGTCGCAAGGAACCACTGCGGAAGTCGGCGAACAAACACCATGACCCACTCTGTTTCAATGAGGATCCTCAATCATTCTTGCTAGATGCAATCAATCGCCGCAGGGCCAGACGGGGTGCCTCCGCACACCTTGATAATAACTTTAACTAACGGCAACCCAGAAGGACTTCTTCTGTGCACCCTGCCTGAAACCACGGCCTGCCAAGCCAACGGGGCAGAGAATCCATCACCCCCATCAATGGTCGAAGGTTGGCTGGCCATTATGTATGCGTATGCACGGAGCACCCGGTAGAACCCACAAAACAACAAAAGCGCTACAATTCGTGTCAATGTAGGGGAAAATGCCATGCAACACCACCCAAACGACTCGGGCGTACACGACCTATCTTCCATCTCTTAACCCGATCGATCCGCCACCCGTAATATTTACAACGAGATTATCCTTGCCGAGGCGCTCTCCCTGCCACGCTATGTGTTGGAGAAGAACAGTAGTGAGAGGTTGTCCCACATCACATCTATTCTTCCATCTCTTATTACGTGATACACAGAGTGATGGAGCGCTTGCACGAGATATGGCTCCGGTCGCGCCGTCGCTGGTGAAAGCCGTACACGTCGTCTCCTGAATCGATCCCCGTGTCTACAGCTGCAAGGAAAAAAAAAAGGGGGGGGATACAAGATACGCATGCTTCGGGTTTCGTTTGCCAGGTGATAAGAACCACGCCTTGCCTACCATCTTCCCCCAGCTCGCAAAAAAGAGCCGCCGTCTCCGTCCCCGCCGTACCCGAAGTTCGAACACCCCGCCGAACACGATACATCAGTCGGTCTGGGTGCTGCGCTGCCCACACATTGGGAAGGCCTGCATCAGGCCCTACGAATATTGAAAAGCTAATCATCATTCAGACATCGACGAATGCACATGTTCGGGGCAAAAGGGGGTCGGTCATCTGGTACTGTAATGCATACGCTCGCACTCTTACACGACACCGAGCGAAGTAGTACGCATACGGCACGCCGTGCACTAAAAACCAAAAACATGACCGATACAGTAGTGCCTCTGCGCCAGGCTGTCGCTCCTACACTTGACTAACCTACCCAAGGGCGCAAGACACCCGTCAATCCGTCACCCGTCAAACAAAGAGAAATCAGACGAGGACAAAAACGAAACGCCATCAAGACCCAATACGTGGCAGCAGTCATCATCGTGTCTGCTTGACAACCGCACGAACACAACCAATCCGCTGGCCTGTCACCGCATGACACTGCGCATCCGCTGGCCTGTTCAGGTGCCGGGGTCGGACTGTCCCCCGCACAATGCCGGGCTTCGCTCTGGCACCACCCAGCCACTTCACAAGTCGGGATCATCATCGTCATCGGCATCGCCGGCACCACCACCAACACTCGCTGCTGAAGCGGCGGGTTGGGGCCCTGCTCCCATCGTCGCCACCGCGGCAGCAGCACCAGCAAGCGCACCCACTTTCGACCCTCCGAACCCCACCGATCCCATCCCCCCCGCCCCCGCGCCGCCCCCGGTGCCAGAAAATCCGGCGAAGCTCGATGGAGACGCGAACGCCATGAGACCGCCTCCCTCCTCCGCTGGCGGGCCGCTGCCGAACGCGCGACCGGCGCTGTTCGTGAACAGTGCCCCCGTTCTCTGGGCAGGCTTCGAGCTCGACGTTCGACCGTTCGAGATGATGCCAACGCGGCCTCCCGCCGCGCCCAAGGACCCGGAGTCGGAGTCGGAATCGGAATCGGAACCGTCGTCTCCCAAGGCCGCGAACGGGTTTCCCTTGCGCTTGCGGCCGGCGGAACGAACGGGTCGAGACGGCGGCGCGTCCGGCGCCTAGAATGAACGCCAAGGCCGAGTTGTCCGGCGGTGTAGATACCAGTATCGAGTTAATACATTCAGAGACGAGGCAAGCAGAAAAAAAAACGGTGAGATGGGGTATGTGGGCGTTGGGTTGCTGCAATTACCGCGGCTTGAGTGGCGGGCGTAAGGAGTCGTGGTTAACATTGAACGTGCCAGACCGCGATGACAAAGAAACCGGGACATTGAACGTATGCGTTCGAGTGGTAACGGTGAGAGAGAACATTACAACATTGATCCAGCAAACAACGGGGACGGGGTGGTTGCGGGGGGGCGGGGGGGCAACGGAGGAAATTTGCGGTATGGTGAGCTGCACGCGCTGCCAATGTACAACATACCATGGGCTCTTGCAACTACATGTGTACGACGCACACTACGCGGCTTAGGGCTCACCGGTTCGTCGGTGATGCTCTGCAGAAGAGCTTCGACCATGCGAGCGGAGCTCGACGCTCGGAGCGACGCCATGGACACCTCGCTGTTGACGGTGATAACATGCCGTCCACAAGAAGCAGGAGTGAGTGGGGGTTAAGTCGGCGAATCAGGTTACCAAATTGGAATCATCACAATATCAAGCGTGGGCGGTGATGACAGAGAGGACCTTACGCGTGTGCTGCTATGCATATCGCATTCTATGGAACAAAGATGGCTGTTACCCTGAATCGAGCTTATTTGCCCCGCGGGACACCAAAGACAACGTATCGGGGACGTTGATGCATAGCAACAGCAGTCAAGTGTCAACAATACGCTTAACAATGTTTGGTTGCGTGGTTGCATTCATCGAAACCGGAGGGTTCTCTTTCTTCAGCATGGTGGTCTGCTTCATCGCAGGTAAGACACCCCGCAAAAATCACAACATGTCCAAGCGTGTCGCAAAGCAAGCTCCGGCAGCGCAATCCTGTCGCTGGCGATAACTACGATGCCGTTTGTCTCCAGGCGTGCGCTGCGGACCAACGTTCTTCGTGACGTGTGACTCACCCTTCGCTCGGCATGCGCAGCTCCGTCGTTGAAGGCGCGAGCCTGATCCTCACGGGAGCGCGCAGGCGCCTCGCTTTTTCCGAGTCCTCCTTGGCCTTCTCGCGGGCGTCTACGGCGGCGTACTCCGCTTGGATCACGGCCGTCTCCGACGATCCCGGCTGCGAGCCGTCCATCCATCAATCGAATTCCCCAGGTCAACAAGGCACGCCACCATCGTGCGGAAGTTTTCCGATGGAGGATGGGGTGGGGCAGGGGGCGGGGTCAAGTTAATTGTCGAGCTGGACACCAGTGCAAAGCAGTCCGGCAAGATATTGTCGTTATGACAGGTTTCGCTTGGTTGCGGCCAAGCGCTTTTAAGGTGCCTATGCACTATGCTGGGACCAGACGAACGGGAGGTCTCATCGTCTTCCTGTCGTCGTTACTGTTATCCTTGACGGGTGTCCATGCTGAGACTGCCGGCTGATAGATATTACGTACCAGCAAGTCAGTTCAATGTGCAATTTGTGGTGCGAAACTGCCCTGTTCTGGAGCCTCTGCTCTTCTGCGTCAAAATCTCGCTCGCTCGTCGAGTACGCTTGCGGGATTCCGGGCATCTCGCGTTCACCAGCAGCCCAAACTGTCCGTCCCTCACAAATATCTCATGGCACTTTCGTCTAGCTCCAGGAGAACACCAACCCTCCTCTCGCAGACTCACGGCAGCCTCCTAACTACCACAAGCTTCAAGCCTTTCCCTTTAACGCATCACCTTCGAATGCTGTGGTTATATCTCGAACGGGTACCCTCTCTTAGTGTGTAGTATGCATATTTTCTCAAAAGCTTCACCACCTCACTATTGTTCCTTGTGCATCTCGACTGCCGTTGCACACAAAACGAATAAGCCTAGATCCACAGAGCAATAGCAGCACCTTGGAGGGGGTACCACTGGACTTCCGGCGCCTCTTGCCGCCGCGGGCTCGTTTGTTCGGCTGCAACAGCTGCTGGGCCAGCGTTCTCCTGTACATCATATTGCGGAGCAAAGGGGTCAAAATGTGCCACCAGCAACGAGAGGCGCGAACAGAGAGCGAAAATCATGTTTAAGACAGAGAAGTAAGCAAGAAATCATTCGACAAACGGTGGAGCTACGGACAGCGTTCAACCGACGACGATGGCAGCCCTTGGCGCATGGCTTTGACCTTAAGAGTGGATAGAACGACATTTTCCAAGAGCATGCTAGATCATGCTACAGGTGTAGCCCTATCGCAGAACGCGTGTTCCATCAACAGGAGCATGGCGCTGTGGTGTCTCTGGCATGTACTCACTTCCCCATGGCGGCCGCCCCTGATTCGCAAGCCCGTAGAAGAAGGACCAGCGAGCATGGGATGGGCCGGGAGCAGCAGTGGGATAAATACAAGCGGAGCGAGAGAGAGAGGAGAAAAGAGCGAGTTTTTTCATGAGGAGTCAGCACACGCTCAGTGAACAAGCTCTTGCGACAAAGCATGAGAGGAAGCGAGCTACCTTTCCCACCAAGTCTTCGCAACTCTTCGTGGATGAGTATCTACAGTACGATGTCTTCTGCCGCCTCACCGACACAACAGCAGTACCATTGGCCTAATTTGTGTTTTCTAGGGTCACGAATGGTTTCATGCTCTCCTCGTTGACGGGTTGTATATGACTAGAGAATATTCTATGAGTAATCCTGGACCTGCCGGCCACGCTGCTACGGCGCTTCGCCAAAACACTCGCAGCCTGCTGCGAGCAAACCACTGGCGCACAATACACGGCAGTACTTCGAACGTCACGCGACGCGCGTCTTGTCATCTCATGACAGGAACTACTACTCCGCATCTAGCTCCAATTGATTCGCATGTCTCGAACAACCTTTATTTCTTTATTTACGTGGGCCTCTCTCCCACCCTCTGCCTCTTCACGTCGCTTTCCCATCCTCTCGTCGCCCTCGCTTACTCAAACCTCACCGTCCAACCCTGCCGCACGATGAGCCCCTCCATGGTGTTTATGGTTGTTTTTGTGTAGCAATCCGCTGCTTCCGCCCCTTCCCTGCAGCTGCTTCCGCGCAGGGGCTTCCTTTCGCTTCTGTCCTCCTCTGTTGGCTTTGCCCATGTTGCCAGACCGTCTAGCTCAAGGGTAGAGGTTACACGCTATGGCACACCACGGGCAATTGATAACCAACTGGATGTAGCTGGCCGCCTGCAGTGAGCCGCTGCACCCACCACAGCCCACAGCACACAATCAGCACACCAATCGCTCCATTTGAGGGGTCCACCTTGGGACCTCGATACCACGGAGCCCCTTAGTTCCGCCGCGTGCCTCCGCCCCTGCCCATCACGTACATACCACCCTGTGTCGGATCAATATTCATCGTGTTGGTGGTGGTTAAGGCCTTGCTTGGCGGTTACTATTGCCCATGTTTCGTTCCCTAGTACGAGCGCGGCCATCGTGGCCGGTGGTCAGCACCAGACCCGCGATGCAGCCTCCCAGAGTTTCGGCTGCGCAACAGCAGGCGCCAAGGCAGGCCCAGCAGCCTGCTGCTGTGCGGTCCCAGCCTTTCCACTCCACGACTCCCGCGTCCATCGGATTCAAGAACTTCAAGAACTCGCCAAGGCTTAAGTGGAAGGTGTGTGCATTGAAGTAGCGTCTCTTGGAGGACCAATGTGAGCTTGCTGATCAAAACATAACGCTTCCGTATATCACTTGTCCCAAATTTGACCCCTGATTCCCCCCCCCCCCCCCCCCCCCTTGGCGTCGACGCCGAAGGGATCATTGCCATTTGCGGAAATCGCAAGCCAGTCGATACGGACGGTAGCAGGTGCGAAATAGCTGCCGCGTGGCTTACAAAGCGTGTGCATCCACCAGTACCGATTGCCGAGGCAGACCAAGCCAAACGTCTTTTCTTTGACGAGACATGGGCAATGGGCTTGCCCATGGGTGCATCAGTTTTTTGGTGTTTAACCGACGAAGTCAACTCCATTCGACTGCTGCTGTAGTGGTTTCGATGTCAAGGAGTAATATTTTCGATGAAGGCGTTTAGCCGCATTGGATCAGCTCCGGTTGTCCAATTGCAGACGTGTGAATGGAACTGCGTATCGTATGCATTTATGGCACCACTGGCACCGAGTGAAATACGTTGTGACCGCGAGGAACCCTACCATATCTGTTCAAAACATGAGCCGGGCGTTGCTACTACGAACTGTGCGTTGTATGGCCGCCTCCCCTGGCAGCTCTTTTCTTGTATGCATCTGAAATATTGCCATACAACTACGTGCGCTTCGCCCGCTGCCGGCCCTGTCATCCCCCTCCGCCATCGCGAAAGACGCAACAAAAACTGGACGCCAAGAACGCCGACATTCTTGCGGAAGCGGGAGGCCAGCCGCGCGTGACCTACGCCGAGGCCCTCAAATCGCACAAGCCGAGGGCGTGGATCGGGGCAAGGAAGAAGGTCGTGTGGGGTCGGTTGTTCGGGCCAAGCAACACCGGTGGTGGCAACAAACAAGGCCAATAGTCCAGCACGCTCAGGCGCATCGCGGCGGAGGGATCGACGGGGGCGAGTGAACGGGGGCAGGGGGGGCAGAGGCGGCGCCTTTCCATTTCGGGCGGGTGAGGCAGGTGGTGTGAAGATCGGTGGTGCGCGGACCAAAGCATCCAACAGGAAACCAGGATCGTTTGAGCTATTGTCTTCAAGGGCGGGGGCACGGGGGGGCATCGAGAGCGACGGCTGGAAGGGGGGAGCGGGGTGGAGACGAGGCCGGTCAGGCAGTGGTCGATAATCCCTCCTTGGACAAGAAAGCGCTGGCTGCGTGTCTCCTTCAGGCCGGAGCGCAGCAGCTCAAAACTTAAGCCAATCCCCTACACTAGAGAGGGTGGAGATCCACACGAATTGGATTCGGGGGGGTTGGCAGAATGATTGATGCAGGGGAGGCGGGAGAGGCAGGAGACGGCGCCGTACACTAGGGTTAGCGTATCCTTGGCGTCTGTGATTTTGGTTCATGTCACGGAGTCGTTGGATCTATACTCTGTTTCCTCCGACATCACCGGTATCGATGATGGTGGTGATTGTGTCGGTGCCCCGCTTTTTGGCGTGGGGATTTAGTTCGTGATCGGATAGGCGAGCTGCCCGAGCTGGCAAATTTCCCCCCAACATGCTACATGTAGGGTCGAGATGAAATCGGGGCGCACGATATCTGCACCACCAGTTGCAAGAAGCTCTGTAAGCTCCGAGGTAACTTTTCGGGTTTCCTTGCTTTGTCTTTGAGGCCAACAACCTCTGGGCGTCACGATGTCCATGTATGTATCTGTCTAGTTTCCGTCTACTCAAAAGAGAGATTGGGCGTATCCAGTACAGTACTGGTCGAAGGCCCGTTGTGAGCCTTATTACCCAACGTTCCGCTCCGCATGTGCGATCGAGCGTTTCTCCGCGTGACTAACAAGTACAAGCGCGGCATTGTGGCTGAAACAACGGCAGCAACCACCCTACCGTTTGTGCAAAGCCCTTTTGCGGGGTCGTCCTTCGGTAGCGATCCCCGAGATGGAGAATATTGTCATTGTCATTGGAACGGTCCCACGAAGCCCCCTTTTTTCAACGCAGCCATCGAAGTATCTTGCCTCGCCCAACCTACAGCCCCCGGGGTCATGTGGTTAATCTGGGAACCCGGTGTCTGGCGGACATACGCACACGGGTAAGAATAAAACGTGCCAATGGAATTTTTCGCAAGGATTCATCCCTCCCGTACGCAACCTTGAGGGTCTTGACCGAGAACAAGAGAACCTGGAACACCACAAAAACCACACCCATATGCATACGAACAGCACTGCAATTTTTAGCCTCCCGCTTCCTCCTGGCACTTTTCGTTTGCTCGCCCTTCCTACAGTAAATGTTGCAGCATACAAGAAAATAATAAAGCCACAAGAGAAAGAAACACACCAACCCGGTGATACACAAGAACATCCACCACCACCCTCGCGAGCAACCGGCAGCAGTAGCTACAGTACACCTACGAATGTTTTTTTCCTTTTTCGTATTTTGGACATGAAGTTAAATCAGCGCTCACCGCTGTCAAAGCAGTGCTGCCGGATAGGAGCTCCAATGCGTGTCCATCCCTCCTGCCGGGCGTTGCCTTCCATTATTATATGGTATGGAACCTCGCGAAATAAACACTACGGCCGTGTTCCTCCACGCGTCAACCTCAACTCTTAAATTCCGAGCCCTCTTACATTCTAGAAAAGAAAAATATTTCCAAATTGGATCACTTATTTATTGTTCCCTCTCAGCGGCACTCCCCCATCTAGTGGCATGGCACCGTTGTTAGCTTAGGCTTGCGGCTTGTCGGCGAAGAGGGCTACTAACTTGCGGGCGGTCGGCTCGTTGACGGTCCTACAGCTGCCTTTCTTCCCGCCATCAGCAAGCTTGAGCTTCTGCGCGGTCAGAAAAAAAAAGTGAGGCAGAAAAAAAAAAAAAACGGGCAGAACGATGGCGATGTTAACGTCCAAGACGACGGGGCGAAGGCGGGGGTGGCTGCGGCTACAGGTGTTTCTTTTGTTGCACCGGCACTGATGTTGTCGCGTCGAGACAAAAGAGGCGCAGAAGAACGTAGCAGCCAAACCAACCGCAACTCAACTCAACAGTGTATTCCTCGAGAAAAAGAGGTACTTCGTACATCAAACCGTAGCAGTCCAACCGCAAATCAACTCAATGGTGTATTGCTGTGTTGGTTGCTGTCTGCCTGAATCGGACGACCGGGCGCCATCTTTCGAAAAATGAATATGAAATGATACATACCACGCGATACGTATACAACACACGTCTCGTGAAAGCCAAACATCGAACACGCTCCCCATCATCGTTCTGTCCGACAAAACAATTGTGCAATCGATCGCACGCATTTAGGTGCACAGTGATGCATGCATATGCCATGAACATGATGAGACGCGGATGACGTCACGGAATACGGCGCAGTAACTTCAAGTGAGACAGACCCAGTAGCACGTACAGGTAGTTTCGAAAAAGGAGCTGTATTTTTCCGTCTCGGAGAAAACAGACAGCAGCGGTCAGAAATACGAGGTATCGTACAATAGCATGATTGCAGAAATAAAATAAAAAAACACATGCCTGCACGAGGCTTTTCTGCTCTTCCGGGGAGCTGCATTGCCGCAGGGCCTCGATGAACCTCATAGGCGTGGGGAACTCGCGAGCGATCACCCTCGCCCCCTCCGCGCTAACGCCGTTCACCTACGGGAAGGGGGGGGGGGGGGGGGGGGGGGGGGGGGTTTCAAAAAAAAAGGGGGCGGGGGGGAAAATTTTTCCCCGGGGGGCCCCTTCTTTTAAAAGGGAGAAAGTTTTTTTTTTTGGGGGAATGTTGTCTTGGCAAAAAAATGGGGGAACTATCTTTGGGGGGGGGGGGAGGGGGGGGGGGGGGCAAAAAAAAAAACCTCTTG